CCCAGCAGGAAGCGTGGCGGAGTTCCAGCCTCAGAGGGGCACAAGCAGTGGAAGGAAGGCCTGTCTCTGGGAGCAAATCTAGCTGGGCTCCTTACTCCAAGGAGCCTGGACACACTGACAGCCCTCGGGCGTGGACGGGAAGGGCCTGCAAGGTTATTCCCGGGAGAAGACTGCTGTGCAGAGCTCTTGGAATGGGTTTATGTGAAAACACGGCCTAGTCCTGTTGAGGGCTCCAGGCTAGACCTGCCCTTGTTCATGCCACAGGCAAGGCTGGCCAGCCGTAAGACCACTATGCTTGGAGACAGGAACTTCCTTCTCTGTCCCTCCACCTGCAGAGTAAGGGAGGCTATAACTGGGCCCAACTGGCCTCTCCTAAGGGCCCACCCAAAGGGTGAACTGGAAAGGGTGGGGAGGGAGGCTAGCTGTCTACCACCCCACCCTCTAAACCTGAACCCGCAGGTCCTGGTGGTGGGGGAGGTGGAGAAAGAGATCACACTGGCAGAGGAAAGTCTACACAGACAGGCAGGGGTCCCCTGGCCAGATGGGATGAGCACCTGGGAGATTTCCATGACTGCCATTGTTTGAAAAACGAATCTGGGCAATGCAGATTAAGGGGGAAAAAAAGACACCAAAAAGACTGTCCCACACAAATCAATTTTTAATACCGTCAACTTGCCAACAGCTCCACATCCATGGGTTCATCACCATGGAAGACAGAATGCCCCAGGCTGAGCTGACCCATCCAGTGATCAAAGACGACCCTGCCTGTGAGCGCTCCAGAACGACACCTGCACCTGGCAGCCTGTGGTGAGTCTCTGCTCGATGTTGGAGCCAGAACTCTGGTTCCCAGGGAGGGCGAGGACCCCGAAGAGATGTGAGGTTAAACAGGTAACAGCTGGGGGGCCCTGGATCTGCTCTCATCCTAGACTCCTCCACTTGGATTCTTCCGGTGCTGCTTGCTCCCAGCCATCCCCAGGGCTTTAGAAAGTGCTTTAGAAAGGGAGGCTCTCAGAGCAGCAGCTATTTCAGACACAGCTGTGGGGAAGGAAAACCTGCAGCGGTCCCAGGGAGGCCGTCCGAAGGAGGAACAACGGCCGGCTTCCCAGTCAGGAGACTTGCCCGTGACCCCAGCCACAACACGGGCAGACAGGCTGGCCTGGCCTCTCAGAGGGAGTGCACCCTGCCCCTAGCAGGTTATCCCCCTCCTGGGCTGGTACCAGACCAGAGCAGGAACAGATCCCTCCCCAGAGGAAATTCTCAGGCTGGCTGATGTAAACAACAGCAGGGTGAGGGGGTGGGACACGTGAGGGGAGCTCATACGAGGCAGGAGAGGCTCCCAGAGGAGGAGGTGAGGAAGCTGCTGGAAACCAGGGAACCAGCAAAGTAGGCATCTTGAGGGCTCCAGAAAACCTGTCAATGTTTATTTCACACACACCCTAAAGACAGCTTACACCAGATTAGAAATGAGAAGCTAAGGTTGTGACCTCACTGAGGCAGAGTTGACGGGTGGGATGGCGGGAAAGCTCACGAGTACTCCTAGTGCCAAAACTAAAGAAAGTGGTGGCCGGACAGCAGAGCACTGGGCAGAGTCTAACTGCCAGTTTTCCAGAGGAGTTAACCCTGAATTTATAAAATGGGGAAAAGGTACCCCAGTCCAATTCCACCTTGAGCCTGAGCTAAGGGTCCCAATGACTGGTCAGAGCACCAGTGGGGGAAGGGGACACAGATTTCAGGCTCGGCTCAGCCCCAGTCCCGAAGGAAGCAGAAGGTGGCTCCCGCTGCATGTGAGGGCGATCTGTTCTGAGAAGCCAAGGAAAGCCAGGGTGCCTGCATCACCCTGAGGTCTACACCACCAGCTCCTGAAAATGAGTCGGAGCCACAACCACGATCGTCACTGGAAATGTGAGCGGCTGTCCAGGGAGCCACCCTGGAAGGTGCCCCACTGTGTGCCCACCCAGTCCTCCCCAAATAAGACGATCCCTGGCTTGCCCTCTTGGCCCCGCCCCTGCTGTCTAAGCTCCACTGAAGTGTGGCCTTTACCAAGAGAACTCAGAATCTGTGTTTCTCTCCAACCTTGGGGGACAGTCCCCTCTCCCCTCGCTCCCCCTCCAGCCCAGGAGCCTCGAGGGTAAGGGTGGTCAGTGGCAGCTTGGGTAGGCGTGGCCTCAGGAGATAGTGGAGAACTCCTTGAGCAGGACTTCCTGGCTGAGAGTGTGGAAGGCCAGGTTTCTCCGGACGTTGGTGCTAATAGACCGAACCTGGGAAAGGGAAAGGGAAGGGGGGAGGGCACAGGCAGAGAAAACACAGGAGAGAGGGTTACAACCTAGAGAGGGCAGTGCCCGCACAGGGCCGAGAGGTCTCTCATAGGAAATGAGTATCTTAGTATTTTAACATCTACTATCCCTGCAGGCAAATGAGCAAACAGCTCCAGGAGAGGAGGAAGGAAAGAGGGACTGAGGACAGAAACAAGGGGATGCACAGGAGCATCTGAGCGCCTAGGGGAAGAAGCAGGCCCAGACAAGGGTGGAGGGCAGAGGTCCTGCCTTGGTCCTGCCTCAGCCATGCACAAGAGGGACTGGGCTGGTCAGTGGCCTGATGGAGGAGGAGAAATGGGCCAAAGGGCTCATGCTCCAGGGCCACCCCTTTTTAGATGTGTTTCTACTCCTGATTCTCCCTCGGGATGTATCTGCCTGCCTGCTTTGGAATGAGCACTGTAGAGACGCAGCCCTCTGCTATGAAGGCAGGGGTATGAGCCAACAGGGTCGATGACAGGCTCGGTCACATGGCTAGTGAGTCCTTGCTTGGGAGCAGGACCCAGGCTTCTTAACTCCTAGTCCAGCATCCTTTCACACACATTTTGATTTTCAAGTTGCCAGATCTAGGACTAGAACCAGTCAGCTTTGTGGAATCCAGCACTTCACTACCACACTACCTGCTGACCTGAGTTCTGGAGTTTCTTGAGTTTCTGTAATCTGATTATTTTTAGAAATGTTAATGTTTCTATTTCTGGTAATAAAGAAAACAGTAATAGCCCATGCAGTGAACTATTGATATTTATATAGTCACACAAAATATTTGTGGTGGATACTGCTAACCAAGTATCCTTAAGAGGAAGGAATATGATACCTTTCAACATTCTTGTTAGACTAATAAATATAATTACACTTTTTAGGTCCTCCTAATGTCACTGCAAAAAGTAATCTGGAACAATAGATGAGCTCAACATTTGAAATCTTAGCTTATTGATTAAATTAGCAGTCCCCAGCCATTCTGGCACCAAGAACCAACCTTGTGGAAGATAATCCCTCCTTGGATGGAGGGACAGGTGGTCCCTGGGTGATCCAAGTGCACCACATCCACCCTGCACCCTATTTCCACCCTTATCACACTGCATTATACAGTGAAGCAATCACATAACAATAGTTTCTGCTCCAAGGAAAATCCAGTACCACCACTGATTTGACAGGAGTTGGAGCTCAGGTGGCAACGCCAAAAACAGGGAACTACTGCCCACTTGAGTCTGGGTACATCCTTGCTGTGTGCCCACTGCTCCCTCACATGCTCTCTACCCACAGACAGAGACCCTGGCGGAGTGCTGCCTGTGTCAGCTGGAGAAAGACCTGTGGAGAAGGGTCACTGGGCCAGACTGCCTGTTCTGGGAGGATGCCAAGAGGAGTCTGGCGACGCTGCTAGCCGACTCGCCAATGGGACAGAGGTGTGCACGTTGTGTCAGAGACAAAACAGGGAGGGAAGAGAACAGAAATATGTGACTCTCCTGGGCCTCAAAGTCCAGGAGCTTACTTCTGATTTCTGCGTGGCTATAGGAAACTTAATGAAGTCATCAGGCCGGAAGCAGAGGGAAGGGCAGCATGGCAGACAGCAGGCAACTTAAGCTCATAAGCTCCCAACTAGACCAGTGTTGGTCCCCTGGGCCAGAGGAACACATACGAGCAGAACTGAGCGAAGCAGAGCTGGTGCCTAAGAGCTCTGAGACAGAGCCACAGCTCCACTGACGCGCAGCTCCACGGCCCTCTTCGCCGCCAGGACTTTTCCTTTGCTAATCGCTGACTCCCAGTAATTGCCCCACATTGACCAGCCACCCTTTAAAAATATTCCGCTCTGCTATCTCCTTACACCTGTAGTTTCCCATTACCAACTAACTCACCCCAGAGCAAGGGAGAATCCTTGCCCTGAGCAGTCTAGAGTCCTGAGGAAAGTCATGTCAGGGTCAGAGTTGGGCTGTCTTTAGCACAAAACCGAGAATCGAAAATCCAGAGCTTTTAGCAGGGCCTTGGCCTGGGGGAAGTATGAGCTGAGTTAATGCAAGCTCTGCCCCAGCAGAGGTAGGTCAGGACATGCGGAGTGGTACGGAGGCCTGGGTTTCCTGGTCTCAGTCCCCGGCCAAGGATGTCTGTGTGAACCAAGCAGCCAGGGGATAGGAATACGGGAGGCTGCGCTTCAAGTTTCGGTTAAGAGCAGCTCTGAGCAAGGGAGGAAGGGGCACAAGGAGAGAAGACACTTCTGTGGAGACGCTGACGGGTAGAGTAGGAGGTGGAGTAAAGGCTCACTGGCTCTAAGTGGCCAAGGGTGGGGACCGTAGGATGCGGAGTGAATGGAAAGTGAGAGTGGGGGAGCAAGTGAAGACTGGGAGGGCAGTCAGGCCTGGAGCCCAGAAGTGACTGCTGAAAGAGGAGGAGAGTCCATTACTGAGGACAGGATAAGGAATCGTGAGCCAGAGTTGCCGCTGGGGACAGGTGTCAGACCCTAGCCTCGCTGTCTGAGGCTGCAGGTGGGCCATGTGGCCTTCTCTCACTGCTTGGCCCTGGCCTGCTGTGGGACAGGCTGCATACCCTAGCCTAGCAGACCTCTCCAGTTTTGTTCCAAGAGCCTTTGCAAACTGCAGTTGGCCTCTTGATGCCCCCTGGCTAGGCCCACAAGAGACTTGGACAGAGACAGGAGCAGGGACTCACCAGCTCTTTGAAGAAGGCAGCTTCCTTGTGCTGCTCGGAGTAGCGCTCATACTGGTCCAGGCCGTCCTGCAGCTTCAGTGTGAGCGTGTCATAGTTGGCTCGTACCACCTCCAGCACCTGTGGGCGGTCAAGGGCCAGGCAGGGCTTAGGCCATGCAAATCCCAGATCACTTCACTCCATGCTCCAGCTCTAGAGGATCGGCTTTGGCGACATCCCTAAGAGACCTTGTTTACTACTTATTATTCAGAAGAAAGTCTGGCTGCCAGGAGCAACCTCTTGTTTCTTTATTTGCTGAGGGCATTTGCACTTGCTAGAGAGAGAGGGAAAGTGGGAAAACACCCCTACAACAGTGCACGGTCACACCATGATCCTTTTTTTATTTTTTTAAATAATTACTTATTTTTAATTTTATTTGTTTATTTATTTAAATTTTGACCAGAGAGAGACAGAGAGAGAGACAAAGTGAGACAGCAAGCCACCAGGTCTGGGACTTGGACTGTGGTCGGTCATGTGGGAATGTCTAGTGCCTTAACCACCACATCACCTGCTGATACCCTCACAACCCCTCTTATCCATCTCTCCTTCCTGTTGGGATTTTGAGCCTGCATGCACATGTGCCCAGCATGTTTCTCAAGCTGCCAGAGCCAGGACTTGAACTGTGGAGTTGGCCATGTGAGATTTGGCCGCCTTATCCACCAGGCCACCAGCTGGTCCAGTTCCTTGTTTTTAAGTGTTCCTATTCCGCACCTCCTCTCCTGACTAGCCCTGTGTGGCCGCCAGGGCTGCTCACTCTGGGCGAGGTAAACGAGCAGGAGAAGGGGACAGAACCATGAGCATCTGAGCACACTGGGCTTCCTGAGACCATAAACGTGCTCTGGGCCCTGTTCTGAAGCTTCTCCTGGCCAGGCTGTCCAAGCTGCTAAGACTTGGCCACTGTCTCTTCCTCCTCCCTTTCTGGGAACCACATTTCTTCAGTCTTGGGATGTTCCTCAGTACCATCTGCCGCTTGCTTTAAGCTCTCTATGCCAACTGGTCTTCCTTCCAGTGCCTAGACTGAACTTTTGGGCACCTCAGCCTTGGCATGTGGGGGACACTTTCAACTAAGCTACAGTTTTTGTTTCGAGGGGATCTCTCCTCCACAATGTGTCTCTGACTTTCTCTGGGAAGAGGATTCAGACTTTCATGGACTCCAGGAAGCTGGCTATCTGTGGTTACAGAAAGAAAGGAACCACCATGGCCAGGCCTGATACAACTTCAGTCAGTATAACAATGAGTAGTAGAAGGCAAGGGCAGTCAGAGGGAGAGGCACCACACCCAGTTAGAACAGAAGTAAATTTGGGGTCAGCAGAAGGCATAGCGGTTATGTTGCTAGACTCCCACATGGCCGACCATGGTTCAAGTCCCAGACCCAGTGGCTTCGAAAATCATGCTAGGTGCGTGTGCATGCATGCCCAAGATCTTGGGAGGAGAATGGAAGAAATGGGATTGTGGCATGGCCATCCTCCCTGGGGTGCTATTTCTCACTTTCCCTCTCACTATATCTGTTTCTCTCTCGCTCTCGAGAGAGCACATACACCCTAAGGCTTTAAAAACCAGAAGTAAGCTGAGCAGGAAGGAGAGATCAGCAGAGGGACTGATGGTTTATTCCGTTAAACTGAGCCAAGTGGTTCTGACCCGGAGGAAGGCCAACAACTTCACCAAGAGCTCCCTGCTCGATGGAATGCTTATGGGGCAGTGAGTGATGAGGGACACCTGGCTTTGACAGAGTCAGGACGTCTCAGAGGGATGGAGGATAGATTCCCGAAGGCCACAAATGCCTCTGGATTGTTTCCCTCACCAGCCCAAATTGTGCCAGGACAGACTTCACTTGGTAGCAAACACTTCTTCCTGCCAAGAATTACTGAGGAGAAAGACTAGAGAGCACAGAGAAGACTGTCCCTGTGGGAGTCTCTGCATTTGGATCTGCAGGGAGGGGACAGCTAAGGCAAAGATCCGGCCCAGCTCTCTCCCCTCCAGACACCTGGCTCCACAAGGCCGTTTGCCAGGCTGTGTCCCACAGGCCCTGGTACAGGCTGGCTCCTCTGCTTTTCTTTCCATTTGTCAGCTCTGTGGGCAGGAGGACCAGTACGTGGCAACGGCAGTCACCCAGAAAGTAATCTGTCCTCCCATGCACGTGGGCTGCACTCGTGGCTCAAATATCTCAGCCAAGGTCTTGGCTCAGAAGTGAACAGCTCAAGCCCAGAAAGAGGGAAAATTCCTCCAGGATGGAGCCAGCCCCAGGAACCAGGCAGAGTGGACTCGTGTATGTTCTCCTAAGCCTTCAAGTCTAGGCTGCTGAGTGATGCCTATGACCCATAAGCTGGGTCAGCCTCCCTGAAGGCTATCAAGTGCCAAAACACAAACATCATGCTAAAGCCAAATCTTTTTTTTTTTTTTTTTTTTTAGAGAGAGATTTTTGCTATGGGGAAAATGTGCTTACCAGAGAGACAGAGAAACAGAAAGTGAGAAATCAACCCCCGCGGGGGGTGGCCATGCTACAATCCCCTTTCCTCTATTGTCCTCTCGGATTTGGGACATGCACACATACGCACCTGGCATGAGTTTCAAGCTGCCAGGTTTGGGACTCAAACTGCAGTTGACCACATGGGAGTCCAACACCTTAACTGCTATGGCACCTGCTGGCCCCGCCTAAGGCCAAATTCTGAGAACAGGGTACAGCCTGTAAGCGATGGCGGTACCTTCTATCCTGAGAGCCTCAGGAGCTCAAGCCTCCTGAGAGCTGCCTTGACCATCCAGACTTTCTCCTCTTGCTAGGTAGAATGGAAGACCTGAGGTCTTGCTTAGAACAGGGACTCTTCTTCCTCTGTATAGCCAAGTTCCGTTCATTGCAAGGAGATGAAAGCAGAAAAGGCCTCTGTGCTATTAGCTCCTTAGAAGGAACTGAAGGCCTCAGAAAGTGCACTGTCTCAGCTCTCCTCTCATCCGGACATTGCCCATTGCCACCTTCTCCTCCCAGCCTTTTCCCTGTGGGCCCCTTCCTTCTTCTTTTACCCCAAAGAGAGCAGCCATCAATTCATCTAGCCACTGCTCTCTCCTGCCCACAGCACTCTCCTTCACTCCCAAGAGAAGACATTCTAAGCTCGGGGATGGGTGTCACCCATTTGGAACTTCAGAGTACTAGGAGTACTTGCTTAGTCTGGGATTTTTCTGTAGCTTCAGACTTTAGGAACACACCCCATTCGTGCCTCTACACCTGGCTTCCTGGTGACTCCAAAGTCTCTTCTCATGTTGAAATCTTTTTAAGATCCATTTAGTAACAGTCTATTCACTAAGCATAAGCCTGGCTTCCTTTCTCAGCTGTTGGGCTGTGGGCCTCCTAGAATCATGCCCACCACCTCAGCTCAAGGCAGCTTCAAAGTCCATCTCCCAGAAGTCACGTGGTCTCTAAGGAATCCTTCCAACCCCCACCTGTGACCCTCAGTAGACCAAGGGCCTGACAGATAACTAAAGGGGAATCCCACTTTTGCTACAGGACTTCAGGCAGTTCACCTCACCTCTTTGAGCCTCAGCCTCTCTCTATAAAATGGAACGTGAACTCGCCTTCCTACCATACATGGGGATAACATTTTCGAGTTCGTGAGATATACAATTGATGGAAATACTGTCACCCCGATGGCTACCTTAGCTACCTGAACAGCCCCTAGAACTACGTACCTTCACAGCTCAGGATGTGTCTACCTATTTCCAACTGTCCCCAAGTCCAATATGCACAAATGACTCTTTATCACAAAGGAACACCGGATTTAAGTGAAGACAGACGATACACAAATGGCCTCAGTTTCAAAGACTCCACACCGCCTTCTTTGTCTAAAAACATTTTGCCTCAACTCAGGTAAGAGAAAAATAAACTACAGACAGGGATACCTAAATAAATGCCTGCCCCTGAGGGCTCTCTACGGCAGTGTGAGAAGACAGCAAAGTCATTAAGAACACAGGCACTGAGGCCAGAGACCTGAATTTCAGTCGGACTGATCACTAATTAGCTATGTACATTTATACAAGTTTCTTAATCTCTTTGGGCCTTAGTGTTCATATCTGTGAAACGGGCATTAACACTAACTCTTAAAGCTGATGTGAGAATGAAATGAGATAATGACTATCCAATGCCTGCTACGTGTTGAATAGTCAGTAAATTGTTACTGACTTTATAATGAATGTCTCTTTCTGGTGACAAAGGGAAGTATTTGGAAGTCCTAGCTACCCCCAGACAGTAACCATAAGCCAGGAGCTAGGGCCTCATACATCTTCATTCAGCCATGGCACATTCTGGTGCAAAAGAAACCAATTGTCCTCGGTGTGAGGACAACATGAGAACATAATGACCTCACTATCCCGGGTGTAACTGGCCATGCATCAGCCAGAAGTCCGAGCATGCCCAGTGCCTACTGCCGACCTTCACGACTCTGGTGGCATGAAGAGACATAGGTCGTACTGCAGGAAAAGGCCATAGAAGCCCATTGAGGCCTGGTTGTGCATGATACAGGCTGGGAGGCACTTGGCCACCTCAGATTCAAGATGTCTTCCACGATGAGTAGATGAGATCCCAGTTCAGAACGTTAGTTCAAAATTGCTGACAGGGTTTCAGACAGACACACCTTCCCCCCAGCACATACAACGTGTGATCCCCACATTTAGGAGCCTGCGTCCATTCTTGTTTTTGTTCCTAAGCAGGGCCTTTGAAACGGGAAAGAACTTCTGGCCAAGATAAGAACAAATGAGAATTGCCAAACTGAAAAAGTTCCTGGCAATGGCTACCCAATTGTGATGCCAGTGGGTTTTGTCCTGTGCCTGAAAACTTGCTCAGTCTCCTCTCTTTGTTGGCCTGAATTGCCAACAGGATGACAGTGAAAGGACAACTAAGTAATAGGACGTGACCTGACTGCAAATATGTTCGTACTTCCCTCTCAGAGTGCATGGGCACCCACTCTACGTGATGAGGAAAGCACATGTAGGTGCCGCCAGCCCAATCCCAACCAGGGTCATGGGTTTGGTCTTCCCTTGGGGCCCAGCTTGCGAGTGAGGGTAAGACCACACGATGCCAACAGAGAAGTTCACTG